TTGACCCTAATGTTGACCCTAATGTTGACCCTAATGTTGACCCTAATCCACGGGCGAGCAGCCACCACACCAGAATTCTACACACCTCCTAGAAATAAAGCTATTCAAAACACCGAAAAATATACATTTCTATAGAAAATTTAAATAGTCTAACAATTAAAACACTAAATAATTTTATATCCTAGTATATTACAGCCAGAACACCTTAATAAAGCACGTACACACTAGCTTTCTACTAAAGTACCTATATTTACTAAGACAATAATTATAGACTCTATAATAGAATTTCTATCTTATATAAACTCCTAAGCTTTCTAAACTAAAGTATTTAATTCTATAGTAATCTATCTAATAGAGCGCTTTTTTTTTTAAAATATTTTTATATTCGCGGCGCATAGTTCCTTAACTTTTTACTTTATAATAGTAGCTTTATTTAAAACTCGTTCATAGCCTTTAAAAAGCTATTTTATTACTATCTTAATAGATAAGTCAGGGCTCCTTGTACAAGCTCTAAACAATTTTTTTAATATAGTCTTCTACTTTTATAATTACTTTAGATTATAAGATATTTTAAATACTAAATTAGTAAATCTACTACTAGATCTATTATCTAGAGATATTACTTTTAGCTAAATATTCAGCTAAAATAATATATGTTTAAAATTAAAAGAAATAAAATTAATAGCTAAAAAACCACTGTAGATATTACTAATAATATATATTTAAATTCTTACTTAAAAAAAGACCTCGAGAAAGTTAAATTTATTAATATAATTAAAATCTAATTTTATCTTATTCTCAACTAATTATTTATATGTACGTTTTAAAGGACCAAAGTAGTCTATATTAAATAGCTAAAGTAGGTAAAATAAGTGTATAGATATATAAAAAGATATAATATTATTTTAACTATATATATTATTAAATCAAGGTATTAAATAATTACTATAGCTATTAAATATTAAAAGTTAATATTAACTAACTATATAATTAATAATAAATAATATAAATAGCCACTGCAGCCAACGTAAATCTATTTTATTAATAGTTTAACTATTTACACTCGTTTCTATACACTAGTCTAATAATAGATCTATCTCATACCAGCTTTTAATATAGACTTTACCTTTAAAAATAAGATAAAGTAAAAAAGGCCTTCTAAAACTAATATATTTAATAGAAATAATTTATTCTCGATTCCCTAGTTATAGAAAAAAAGGTTTACTAGTTAACTTAGTTTAAATAA